TGTTCGGCTGCACTGACTCGTCTCAGGTGTTGGCAGAGCTGGAAGAGGCCAAGAAAGCCTACCCCAACGCCTTCATCCGGATCATCGGTTTCGACAACAAGCGCCAAGTGCAGTGCATCAGTTTCATTGCCTACAAGCCTCCTAGCTTCTAAACTTTTAAGGATTCATTCCAATTTGTTTTAAGATGTGTGTAGGCTTTGAGTGTGTTCTGTTTTTCTTTTTTCAACTTTCGAATTTTCTTTATCAATAATCTGTTACTTTTTCCATCTTGACCTCCAACGAACGAACATATGACGATGAGAATAAAGTTTGTTTGATGATTATTAATTAGTTGAAGATGAACATTAAAGTTCGTTCAGTCTATACTCCATGCATAATTAATTTCCTTTTAACTACTATGAGTCTAGTAGCGTTTTCTTTTAACACCTACCTTCTTATTACTGATTTGAGATGTTGGGTCTGGTGACAATGGGTGGGGTGGGTCATTACAGACGGAAAAACCATCAGTGTTTGATTCCGTTTCCGTTTATTCAGTAAACATTGATTGGCTGCTACATAGGCGCCGTCTCAGTATTTTCTCTCTTTTCCTCTGCATACAATCAAAAGTGTAAAAAGTAAATTTTGGTTGTTTATGTGCATGTTAACTAAAGTTGTTTTTTTGAAGTTTTCATAAACGGCCAAGCATTTATTCGTTGTTATGCTGAAGTGGCGCCTAGTGGCACCTAATGTGTCTAATTGTCATAAACAGTTGTAATTATTGCATTTCTCAATTTTATTAATAAATAAAATACAAACATTTATTTAATAAACATAAACAAAACCAAACACATATTATATCCTTAAAACCGCAAAGAAAGATGAAAATTAGTGTCCAGATTTTATTAAGGCTCTCCGGACCAAAAATAGCTTAAAGGCTGACTGTGTTGGGCTCAATTGAGAAAGCCAGAAGCCGCCGTGCTTCAGCCCTCTCAAGCAGGCACTAGCATTTTATTAAGGCTTGAAATCGTGATTGTGGCCGCTGTTGTGCCCCCAATAAAAATTGGACCATACCTAGATTCATCCCTGCCAAGTTCCTTGTTCATGAGATTACTACGTAAGGTGTTAATTAAAGCTTCCCATATTGTTTTTCTAATTATAATTCTTTTCTTAAAACAAGAAAATAAAAAATAATTACTTTCTTAAGGTGTGCCCCAAAACCTTTTCTTCTCTCCCCCTTTCACGCACAGTAGCACCATTGAATTTGAACCTCTGCTATTCCTCCTTCACTATTGTACACCAGAGACCTAGGAGATAGATAACCTGCAAATCCAGAGTGATTTACATCACCTTGTAAATTCTGGATGAAAGAAATATCAAACCAAGTAGCGTTGACTAGAGGTGCAAATCAGGTTACTTCTGAATTAGGGGTACAATTCGGGTTGGAAACTTAGGCTCCATTTGGAAGGAGTATAAATATAAATATGTAGAGCATAAAATCTTGTATTTTGTATTTTTTGTACTGTACATATTTGTATTTGTACTCCTTAGGCTCCATTTGGAAGGAGTACAAATACAGATATGTAGAACACAAAACCTTATATTTTGTTTTATTTTGTATGAAATTGTATTGCACATATTTGTATTTGTACTCCTAACATTTTACATTGTTTTGAACTTGGGCTTTCAGTTTGAGTCCATTCAAATTTTGACAAAAAAAATCCAATCCGACCCCACCCAAGTTGCATAGCTACTCATGACCCCTATAAAGCTTTCTTCTAATTAACAATCTCTGTTATCATGACCAAATACCTTGTGTTTGGTGAGAGAATGGCATCGTAATCTGTCATCCGCCCAACATCCTTCAGACCTTCAACTCTTGGCTTAGCACTCTATACTTATAAGTAGAGCTCTGAACAATGATCATTGAAGTAAGGGCCCATTTGGGAGGACTGAGCTGAAGATTCAACTAAGCATGTTCAATTGCTTCAAAGTGTTCTGGATAAACTATTCAAAGAGGCTGAAACGAACAGTCTTGAAATGACTGAACCAAGCCGCTGCAGATTATTCTTCAAGGGTCCATTTGGGGGACTAAACAGGTTCAACTGCTTTGAATTGAAGCACTCTGGCCAAACTATTCAAAGAGGCTCAAGCGGACAGTCCATCAAATGACTGCAAGCTGATTTGGACTCCCAATTTTCAACAAACATAACTTAATAACTCTCCATGGCCCACCTTGGGAAGCCAGAAACTGCGGTACTTCAGCCCTCCCAAATGGTCACCAAATGTAGTTTATAGGCTGTCCATTTGGAGACCATCTCGAAAAGCCAGAAGCCACTACACTTCAATCTTCCCAAACGTATACTAAATCCTGGCTTTCTTGCTAAAGTAAGAAGCACCCAATAGGGAAAAACATCTGCAACTGTGCGTAAGAGATGACCTGGATTCTTCTAGACCCAAATGTGCTTGATCTACGTCTGGTGTGCAAGTGAATGCTAAGTAGAAAGGGCTGAAAAATGCTGCTTTGCTGGAAGAGAGCAGGGGGAAGAAAAGCGCTTTGGGGCAGGGCTGATTGATTTGTTTCCAAAATAACAATAAGGCTCAGTTTGGGAGGAGTATAGGTATAAATATTTACAGTACAATTACATTATAAAATAATACAAAAACGTAAGGTTTTATTTGCATTAATGCAAATGTATAGGAGTGCAAATGCAAAAAATGTAAATT